CCGTGATGGCGTAATCTGCGCCTGGGACCTGCATCTCGACCTCGACCACTCCACCCAAGACGACGACGACCCCTTCGCCGACTCCAACACGGCCGACTCCAAGCCCCCGCCCACGCAGTTCCGTAACCAGGTCCAGGCCCACACCCACTGGATCAACGACATCGTCCTCGCCCAGAACAACGACGCCCTCGTCTCCGCCTCCTCCGACATCACCGTCAAGGTATGGCGACCCGCTGCCACCGACAAGCTGCCCCCGCAGACGATTGGCCTGCACACCGACTACGTCAAGCGCGTCGCATCGCCGGGCGGCAACGAGAACTGGGTAGCTTCGGGCGGCCTGGACCGCAAGATCAGCCTGTGGGACCTCAATGGCGCGGGCAAGAAGCTGGAGATTGCTGTCGGCGAGGATGAGAACACCGCCAAGGGCTCTGTATACGCCCTGGCAGCCACACCCAACCTCATCGCTAGTGGCGGGCCAGAGAGCATCGTCCGCGTATGGGACGCGAGGTCGGGCAAGCGCATCACCAAGTTTGTCGGTCACACGGACAATGTGCGCGATATCCTCCTGGCGCAGGACGGCGACATGATCCTGACGGGCTCGTCCGATCAGACGGTCAAGGTGTGGTCCATGACGGCAGGCCGCTGCATGTACACGCTTACTATGCACAACGACAGCGTCTGGTCTCTGCACTCCGACTCGCCCGAACTCGACGTCTTCTACTCTTCCGACCGCTCTGGCATAGTCGCCAAAAGTGATGTGCGCAACTGCGCCGAAATGGACGAAGGTCTCTCGCTAGCAGTGTGTCAGGAGCACGAGGGTGTGAATAAGGTTGTCGCAGCTGGCGACTACATCTGGACTGCAACCTCCAGCTCGAGCATCAACCGGTGGAACGACGTCGAAACCGCGGCCGAGGTCGAGCTTCCAGAATCCTACAAGTGGCATAGGAACAGCGTGTCGACTATGCGATCGCGCATTCCTTCGCCTCCCGCTGGCAGCCCTCCGAAGAACGAAACGTCCAAGATTCCGCTCAAGTCTCTACTGCGCATGTCCAATACTGCGCCATTCCCGCAAGCGCTTGCGACCAAGGATGCCGACACCTCAACTCTAGCCAGTACGCGCAAACCCTCCGAAGTACTAGCGGCTCCCGAACACAGCGCTGTTGGGACTGTCCGGGCACTACCAGATTTTACAATCGAAGGGCAGAACGGTCTCATCAAGCATCATCTGCTCAACGATCGGCGAAGAGTCCTCACTCTCGACACTGCGGGCGAGGTGGTTCTATGGGATCTACTGCAATGCGCACCGATCAAGTCATACGGCAAGAAGCACATGGAGGACGTCGTGCCAGAAGTTAACACCGTCGACACCGTCGCTCACTGGTGCGCTGTCGATACGAGGATAGGGACCTTGACGTGTATGCTTGAGGAGAACTACTGCTTCGATGCCGAGACATATGCAGACGAGCTGGAGCTAGAGGAGCAGATTGACTTCCGGGAAGACCATCGCATAAACCTGGGCAAATGGATATTACGATACCTTTTCTCTAACCTCATTGACGAGGAAATCAAGCGCGATGAGATCCTGCGGGCAGAGCTGCTCAAACAAAAGGAGGAACAACCGCAGCCGGGCCGACCAACAAACATCGAGCTACCAAACATGAACATCAACGGATGGACAGATGCGACTTCAGGGCCTGCTTCAGGCTCGACCATCAGAGCGGACGGAATGCGTCTACCACATACACCAGGTCTAGCTATTGGTCTAGCTACGCCAATGGCAGCACCTATGAGTGCAGGACGCAACTCTACCACCAACCCCTTGACTCCAACCAAGGAAGAGGGCGCACAGCTGGAGAAGACGCAAACCCAACGGAGCTCGACTCAAGAAGGCGGTGACTACTTCGGTTCTGCCTCTGCTGCTAACGGCAACGGAAGTGGAAAAGCCACCGAGGCTTCGAAAGACGGCTCTGCGGACTCAAAAGAGGAAACTGTCCAGTCACCTACCGAGGCCGATACGCCAGCTAAGAAGGGCAAAGGCATGTTTGGTAAGAAGTTTAACATGGGCTTTAGCATGAAGAAGTTCAGCACTGGCACAGCTGCCCCGGAGCCAGCCAAACCCGCCGTTGACGAAAAGGCCGAGGACAGCGATGCACACTCCAACAAGACGGATGAAAAGACCATTGAAGATAACTTCTTCGGCGCTCTTCAACGGATACGGCAGGGTTATGAGGAACAGCTTGCGGCCGGCGCGACCAAGTTGGACACGCAGATTGCACCCAGTCTGCCCAACGAAACACCCGTACTAAAACCACCTGCTATGACCACCATCCTAATCCAAGAGGATCGCCCCGATTCCGGAGGTGTAGCCGATCTATTCGAGGGCAAAGTCGGAACCCTAGGAACCCAAGCCGACCTCATCGAAAAAGCCGCACCAATGTGGCTAGCAGAAGTCCTACTACGAGTTTGTCACCCCATACATTCAAACCACCCCATCTTTACTAACGTAACCCCCACAGAACCAACTCCCACCCAAAGACATCGTCAAAGTATCCTTCGTACTTGAACCGTTTAACAACACGCTCCCCTCCATCTCATCCGACGGGTACATTCCCTTTGCCCTCCCCTTCGAAACCGCCGCCAGCGCTAACGCGACTCTCAGTAACAACCGCCTCAACGCAAATAGAATGTTGCGCGCTCGCAAGATACTGGGTTATGTGGCTGAGCGCATTGAACCTGCGCCTACCAAGGAGGATCTCGAGAAGTCGGCGGAGAGTGGTGGTGTGCTTAAGCCGGATGAGTATTTGGAGTTGTATTGTAATAATCAGGTGAGTTTTATGTTTACTTGTTACATAACATTGGTGGAGGGAATTGTGCTAATCATTATCTTTGAATAGTTGATCCCCCCAACCATGACACTAGCCAGTATCCGCGCACACATCTGGCGCGGTGGCGGCGACGTTCTTCTGTTGTACAAAGCCAATGGCCGCAAGGAAATCAGACATGCGCCTTACCCTGGACCGCAGTCTGGTGCGCCTCCTGGTCCTATGCATGGATTGAAGGTCGGTGCGGGGTTGAACTCGCAGCCTGGGAGTAGCAACGCGAGTGAGGGGAAGCAGAGCAGTGAGGCGGATAGGAGTACCAAGGATGCTGCGGTTTTTGGGCCGTAGGTTGTGTTTGGTCAGGGCGCGTATGGTATGGTGTGGTTGAATTGGATATGGAAGGGGACAGGGTGGCTGGCTGTGTGGCAGCTCAACTGGGGATGTTGGTATTGTTCTTGGGTAAAGGCCAGAGGGATTGAATAGTGTATATAGCATACCCGCTTGCCAGTAGACTCATCCATGAGTCTATGGCCTCGGCCTCGTGCGGCTGAGTAGGACGAACGTAATCCTATACTCTCATTATTGCTCTTCCCTCCTCCACCCTTTCTCCAAAACATAAACATGATCAACCATGCCGCTCACACCTCACTCCTCAACCACACCCCCCAGCGCATTACTCGCCCACTGATAACTCCCCAAGAAAATCGCACCCCCAACACTAATCCAACCCACCCTCGGCCCCATCCCCGCGAAGAACGCCCTCGGCCCACTCTCCCTCATGATACTCCCCAACATCTGCATCATAGGCTGTTTCTCCCTCGCAAGCATCATCCGCGTCTTAAGCACATCCAACGGCGTCGTCACACCCGCCGCCACAGCCCCCGCCACACTCCCCAACAACCCCCCCTCCAGCCCGGTTACCTCGTTCCGTCCTGTCCGGCTCATCCGCCACTTCTTCAGCGCCTCCCAGAGCGGGAATTGGATTACGGTAAAGGGCACTTCGCGGATTATGGTTATTGACCACCCACGGTAGAGTTCCATCCAGACGTGTGCGAGACCGTGGGTGTGGCGCTGGCGCAGGATGAAGGTGAGTGCGGAGAGGGAGGAGGGGTGTTGGGAGGCTTGGGCGCGTTGTTTTATTACTTCCGTAGGCACACGTACCGCACACGCGGCAACCTCCCCCGCACTCGCGGCTGCCATGTGTACCAGTGCTTCTGTCCCGCTGTCCCTCGCATCTTCTTTATACGGTTTTCCTTCCGCGTTATATCGTACGGTGGTTGTAGCTAGACTTTGGCTCTGGGCGAAGGTGCGTTTTATCGTGTCGTAGGTTATGAAGAAGAGGGCGGCGCCGGGCGCGGATCCGACGATTGCGCTGCCGACGCCCCGGTAGATGCCGTTGAAGCCGCCGCTGGCGGCGAAGCCGGAGGCGGATTGGAGGCGTGTTTTTAAAGTGTCGAGGGGGTAGAGGGATAGGTCTACTGTTGTGCCTGCTAGGCCGCCTGCCTGGGGTGGGTGTCAGTGTGGAGGTGTAAGGGGGGTTGGATGGCTCCAGAATATGAATGAGACGAAGGCCATGTGGAAATGCACATGCATTGCGAGTACTGTATGGAATGTCGACGGCATCTGGCCCAGTAGCTTCGCAATGGCAAGGAAAGATGCAGATGATGCGCCTTAACCCGATATCGGCAGAGCGCGAGCAATTGGGAGGCAATCTTCTGACAGCTGAAAGATCTGGTTACTTACTATGAGCGACCTCAAGTATGGCGACTCAACCCATGCTTGTGGTGGTTGTGCGCGTGAGGAGTCGAGCATGGTGGGAAAGTAATTCGGCGGGCTATGACGATGGGAGTCAAGACGTGCGTTGGAGAACGAAGGGTCTGTGCGCAAGCTAGTGGACTGTCTACTTCTTTCGTCCTTACTAGACGAGTACCTTGCTCATTTTAATGTTTTCCTGATACACGAGTTTACTAACGAAACCATACCTTGTTTTTCGTGTCGAACGTGGTATCCGCGGAAAGAAGATGGCGCGTTGAAAGAATGTCTGCTTCGGCTATGAATGTGAGATGTCTGGCTAGCACAAGGATTCCGAGATGCGACGCGCAAGAGAAGGAACGAGAGAAAACAAGGGATGGAAATCGGAGTCCTGCCGAGTCAAATGAGGTGGGCGAAGGGGAGAGAGTGATGGCTAGCAGTGATGATGTACCACAGCAGTCTATGGAAGACAAACCGGAAGACAAGAACAACAAAGGCGCTTCAGACGGCCAATCCTCTCGAGGATCATCGCTTTCATCTTCGCAATCGGAATCAGAATCGCAATCGGAAGATGACAGCGACTCTGGTAGCTCTGATCACTTACTGGATGCCAAACAGTACACGAGTTGCATACAAGAAGCCCAACTTACACCGGATGGTAGCTGCGTTTTCACGTCGGATTACAGCCGTCAATTTTCCGTGTATCCCATCTCCAACGATATTTTGACCCAGATCAGCCCTCAGCCTCTCACGCCCTACGCGTCTCTTCGCTCTGCCGATCCTATTTGGGCCTTTGCTGTCAATCCGCTCTTCAGTTTACAAGATGCTAGCAGTACGACTGTGCTCATTAGTCGACGGGATGCCTACATCAGTCTGCATAACGCCTTATGGCCTACCTCACAGAAACACAGCGAAGACAATCCAACCTCAGGGCCAGTAGACATATCCACCCCTCTAGCATCCTACAAACTCATCAACAATCTGACTGAAGCCGTCGTTGCACCCCTCAGCCTCGCCTACTCCATCGCCGGCACACATTTCTTCGCCGGCTCGAAAGACGAAATCGCCATCTTCGATCTTGTCGAGACCGATAAGCCAATCCACACAATCCGCACCATACCCGCCAAACGCAACAAACTCAAAGGCGGAGGTCGCGGCTTCAAAGGCCAGATTTCCGCTCTGTCCCTCTCACCCCCCTCTCACACATCACACGATGGCATTCTAGCAGCCGGCTCCCGCACCCGCTACATCGGCATCTACGATCCCATCGGCGGCACAGAGGTGACACATTTCTCACTCCCAGGCACGGTCAATGGCATCAAATTCCGCAACGAAGCCCTCCAAAATGTCATGGGCGATGGCGTCACATCCCTCAAATGGAGTCCCTGCGGCAAATACCTCTACGTCGCCGAACGCAGTTCAGACGTCCTTCTCATCTACGACGTCCGCAACTTCTCGCTCACCCTGGGATACTGTGCAGGTCGCCAAGCGCTAACTCGTCAGAAACTGGGTTTTGATGTGTGGAATGCGGGACAGAGCCCGTATGATGTTGAGGGTGTTTCTCATGAGGTTTGGGCGGGTGGGACGGATGGGAAGGTGAGGGTTTGGAGGGATCCGTATAGGAGGGAGGGGGCTGTACAGGCTGATGAGGTGGTTGAGGTCGGGGATGGGAAGGCGCCTGTTGTGGCAAGTCTTGTGCATGTTTCGGGGAGTTTGGCGGTTGCGGCTTGTGGGAGGGTTGGGTTGGGGAGTGAGATGGAAGAGGGGGTGCGGAGGGGTGGCGGTGTGAGACCTGTGGTGAGGGAGTGGGGGAGTTTGGATATCTTGGGGTTGGGCTGAATGTTGCTCCGGAGATGCTGAGATATTGGAGGTTAATGGGGTTCAAGAAGTGTTGGTAATGATATTCGCCTATCTTCCTCCGACGCGAAACTGACGCGTGGGCTGCAAAGGTACACGAGCAGAGAGACACGATTTTGAGACGTCCGAGGAGCTTTCGCAGCGGGCCTAAAGTACAAATGCTAACCATGTGTGAAGAAATGCAACCAATTGTTCGCGTTCCAGTATACCTGGGCCCATCGTATGTATGTACACACACCACGCCACACGAGTACTACTGGGTGCCAGTCTGCCGGTCCACACACATACCCGCTACCCCGTCAAGGTCTAGAAGACCTCGGGGTATAGCCGGAGTAAGGAGTGCAAGCGCGATCTTCATCTGTAAGCCATTCGCTAATGGCGGTTGCTCGCTGGATGCTCTTACTATTGTTCGTTGAATGTGCATGGGTCTAAAACGCAGGTACGGCGCAGTCAAGCAACACGCTAGTTATTGCAATGCTTATGTGTTTCCTAGCATATTTTCCCACATTATGAAGTAGTATGTGTCTTTAATAAGTTTGATTTATTGAAATCAAGCAATGAGTTGGACCTTCTTACAGTCACAACCTTGGACGAGCTGTCCTTCATTGTGGGTTTAATCGTTCAGCTCAGCTGTTCATGCTTCATCTACGATAAACACGTAGTGCGATCAGGAACGACGACTACCAGACACATACATGTGAGTTTCTAGATCTACCAGCTATTGAGTGTCATGTTGTGTAGGTCTGTGGTGTGCTGCTGTGTGGGAATACACAAAAGGCCTATGCGAAGACAACCAACCCACTGTGCGCGAGATCTTCTTGCTATATTCTCATCTTTATTACAAGAACAATAGCAGGATAAAATGATTCTACGAATTCGCCATTTCCAACAAAAGTAAGGGCGCGCCTGTACGTTGGTGCACATCAGACGAGCCAAACTGCGCCGGAATCACACATGGCAGTATCACCAGGTCTCACCGTACATCTATCGCTGAGGTCTTTTCCGCCATCCCTCGCTGTCTATAAAAGCTACCTTCTCTCTGTCGTTACACATAGTATCATCGAACAATCCGATCACTCCATCTTACTCTACACCACCTCTTGCTACCAAGCTATCCGCAAAAAGACCAACCATGCATCTCGCCGCCCTCCTCTCCCTCGTGGCTCTCCCATTCCTAGCCAGCGGCCTTCCAACCGCCGAAACAGAGGCCACGCATCTGGTCGCCCGTGCTTCCGACGCCGGCTACATCTACTATGAACCAGGCGGTATACCCGACCATCTAAGTCATAGAGCCCCCCTGATAGCCAACGGTGGTTGTTCGCCAAACTTTCCTGGACAGGCCAGTACCTGCACGGTTTTTGCAGGCTATAGATGCCGATTCTTCCGGTAATTTGTCATGAGATCAAGGTCCCTTAAGCTGGTAACTAACGAAGCATGTGATAGGGACAATAACTGCAAAGGCCTCATTGGTGGGGTTGAAGGGCTGCCTTCTCCAGGAGGAGGGCTCTATCAAAAGGCCAGGTCCGCCACTTGCTGGCGTGGGTAGAGTGGTTGCAACCACTCGGAGAATCGTTGCAATGAGAAGTCTCTCAAACGTACTCTGGAGAGCACAAGTCGGTGGAACGGAACATACGGACGGTCATTTTACTAGTATATACGGAGGAGCACCAGAATGAACTACTTGTCGCATTCTACTACATCATTATCCCTGCGGCTGACACTTAAACACGATATCCAGCTACGCCAACCCCAAACTCATTACCCAAACCAGCAGTGATACTGAAAGGACGTGATACGCCCCTCTGGATAGAAGCCCATCTCATAACTCCAGTTCCTTCCCAAGTTCGGAACAATCTTAACCCGCACATCAACCATTCTCCCCCTCTCCCTGCTCTTCTCAACAAAATTCTCAGCCCAATTCTGAGCAACGTCAATCAAACCAGTCCAAGTCGGACTAAAATTCGGCTTGATATCGCTGTCATGTCCCTTGAGATCGGCGTAGTAATACTCATTACCATCAACGCACACCAAATCCAACTTCTGGAGACCCGTAGAACCCGATACGTTCGCAAGGTCCGCCATATCCCCAAACGTCGCTTCATTAACCAAACGCGACGTCTTCTCGCCCTGCAACTCCTCATCTTCTTTTTGCTTCTTCAAAAACATACTCCCCGGAACACCAACAGTGAGAATTTTCAGCCCGGGACATCTCTTCACAACATCAACAACACTCCCAGCGCGGTACCAAACAGGGCTCAACCGGGGTACAAGCGCAGTCTCCCGCACAGTCCCTATCTCAAGATGCTGGATACAGCTCCATGCGCTGGATGGCATGCCGACCATCCATAGTTCCAAGTTGACTACGTCGTTGACGGCGATGGTGGTGTGGCGCAGATATATCTCAGAAGCTTCTTGGTTGATCTGGCGGTTTAGGCGTAGGTAGGGTGGGAGGCGCGAGCTGAGAGGCGGTAGAGGAGATGGGTCGCTGGGTTGGGCGTATTGAAGTTTTGGCGGCAGGTCGGTGAGGAGGTGGGTGTAGATTTCGTCGCGGATTTCGCGGGGGAAGAGGGTGAGGAAGGGGCGAGTGCTGGATGTTTGTTGTGCTTCCATTTGGAGGAAGTCGGGTTGGAGTTATGAGTGGGTAAGCAGCACTCGTCTTGAACAATACCTGAATATATGTTTTGGGCTACTGGTGAAGAGCTCGACATGTATGAGCAGGTTGTAGCAGAGTTATATGGTCATAGCCGTGGTGGCTGTGGGACGTAATCAAGTTGGTTCAGAGTGGCGGTGCAATTTCCATGTACCGGTCAGAAGCATCCGCCTGATATTAAGCAGGCATCTACATGGCACAACCATCTCGCTCATGTCCTTCGTAGACGCGTCACGCAAAAGGCCCGATGGAATGTTGGAAGGAAGGTTTCGTGAACAGTCGCAACTGCCCGAACAGTAACTGCGCCACATTGCACCGCCACGAGTTCCAAAACTGCTGCCTACCTAGGTACCGATCTAAGTCACTTCCCACCATTGAGCAAAATCATCTCAAAACTTCACCAAGAAAACACCAAGAACAATGAACACTGGAAACACCTCCACCAAATCTCCCAAAATGCTCGACCTAGCAACCCGCCGCCGCATCTGCGAAGACACAATAACCCGCTCCGCCTCCATCGCATCCTCCACACCTTCCGGCTCCCTAACCAGCTACTTCATCCCCACCCAACTACCCCCATTATCAAAAACATCTCCAACATACCCATCCTACCCCGCACTCCGCTCGATAAAAATCCACAACAGCGACGCCTTCGCCCTCGCCCGCTCCCTCCCCGGCACCTCCAAACCCGGCATCTTAAACCTAGCCTCCGACGCCGAACCCGGCGGCGGCTGGCGCTTCACCCTATCCTCCACGCAGGAAGAAGCTCTGTGTTACTCATCCACGCTATATGCGACGTTGAAACCGGAATGGTATCCGTGGGCTAATACGGGGGAGGGGTGTGTGGCTGGTGTTATGTCGCCTGATGTTGTTGTGTTTAGGGATACGCTAGACAATGGGCTTGAGGAGCTACCGGAGGATCAGCGGTTTGTGGTTGCGGTTATGACGGTTGCGGGGCCGCGGTTTCCGGGTGTTGTGACGGATGCGGAGGGGGAGGTGGGGTTTAAGGAGGAGAGCGTTGTTGAGGAGGTGCGGGAGAAGGTTAGGTTGGTGTTGAGGATGGCGGCACAGGAGGGTGTGGGGAGGCTGGTACTTGGTGCCATGGGGTGTGGAGCTTATGGGTGCCCGCCTAGGGCTGTGGCGAAAGAGATGAAGGGCGTATTGGGAGAGGAGGAGTTCGAGGGGTGGTTTGAAAGTGTGGATTTTGCGGTTTATGCGAAGGGGCCGGCTGGGATGAGGAATTTAGAGGCTTTTAGGGAGGTCTTTGGAGGGGAGTGAGTATGGAGGGTTTGATGGGGATGCAGCTGGTCGTTGCATTGTAGATTGTATGTACATATTTGGTAAAAGGTAAAGTAGATACAGAGAAGATAAATCATGTCGCCTTCCGACTCGCAAAGGCCTCATGCTTTGCGCACACCTCCAACTCGACCCAACCCCTGTCAACTCACTCTAGATCTTACCAACACCAGCGGTGTTAGCAACATTCGAGCTAGCCGCCGAAGCACCAGCAACAGTCTTTCCCTGGAAGTTAACCAAGAAGTCCGTCTGAGTACCACTGAAGCTTCCACTGCTTCCAAAAGAGTTAAGCTGGCAAGTGTGTCCAAGATAGGTCTGGCATACACCATTGGCGCCCGTACTCGGCGCCGAGAAAAGCTGTCCCTTGTTGTTAAGCAGCGGCGTGTTGACATTCTGAAACACATTGCCCTCAGCAACAACCATACCGCCGGCTTCAATATCAAACGCATGACCCGTGTTGCTGTAGAAGTAGTTGTTTACCGCATGAAGCAGCGTGTTGCCCTGTCCACCGACCTTCGGGCTGCGGCCAGAGGTGTGGTGGATATAGTTGCCCTTCATGGTGATGAGATCGCTGCCGCCGAGGAGGAGGATGCTCCAGTAGTGGCGGCCGTCGCAGGAGGCGGACCAGGAGGTGCTGCCGTCGAATTCTGAGTTGCTGATTGTCACGCGGCCCGAGGCGCCGTAGCCGGCTACGAACATTTGGCGGCCGATGAG